AGTAAGATAAAAACATTCGCTACGTGTAATAATCCATATTAAAATTTAGAGGAGCTCTTTTCCTGAAAAATTGTGAAAGGGCAAACTTAACGCGAAAGTGGTATTATTGAGTAACTAAACAAAAAAAAAAAAAACGTATTATTGCTTTATTGAATTTTGATAGTATCTTATAGTTTATTATTCATCAATTATTTTTTACAGTACTTATATATGTTGCATGAATGTGAGATAATATATAGTTTCACCACTGTCAACAGTTTGGCGGTAGGTTTTAGAACGTAATACTCGCGTATGTGGGAGCGACACAATACTTCTTAATGATTTCTCATTTAATAGTATCCCTAATATACATAATTTATTGATGTTTAAAATACATATGATTTATACTGTGCGTAACTCATAATTTTACAAACATTTGCTCCATTATTGCAACCAATGAAAAATATTTCTGACACTCCATATAACACGCTGTGCTTTTGAAAAGTAATTTTTTATATTTTATTAATTTCTCATTGCCTTCCTCTATCTTCTGTTTTCCTTTTGACACTTTAATATTTTTTTAATTGGTTGATCTCAAATTGCAACAAGTTTGATTTGTAGTCTCTTTCATCTACTTTTAACGAATTCTGGCACATCAACGTCGATAGGTTAGATCATTAAGCACTGGTAGTTCGATCTAGGTTCGAATCCCTGACGAGCGAGTTGGCTGCATGGGAGTTTTCCTAGCTTTTCCCATGCGTAATGAGAATACCAGCCAGAGAAAGTTAAAAAGCCGTCTATGAAGACATCCCTTCGATTAGGCAGATAGCGCTCGAGTGCTTTTTTAAAAATTTAAATAATCCAATCCGAGTTAATAAATCCTGTCTTCTTTCTGTCTCTTCTTCAGTTACCTTTAGTGTCGGTTCACTCTCATATCTTTATTCTCTTCTTTACTCTGCTCTAGCCTAATTAACATATCTTTGTAGGAATTCATTCATTAAACCTTTTTCCTTTTATGAAGTATTTGTTATTATCTATGCATAGTCGTATGCACCTAAAATTGTTTAAATATCATACGTTTTATTTGGGACGATTCAAAATCACCAAAATCACCCATAAAAAAACTAAACGTAATATACTTGGAATTTTATCTAAGAACTTTATCCACCAAATTGTTTTGAGACACAGAAATTGCATTTAGCCAAGAAACAAGCAAGAAAAACAGCAAAGCATGTTTATACAATTCATTTTCCCTGTCATTTATCCAGAGATTCCTGCTCAGAAATGTTTCAGTTTTTTTTTTTTTTTTTTTTTTTTTTTTTTGTGGGAAAATAAAGAGATGGAGAGGTCTTGCGTAGAAGCCTGTATTCGATTGAGAACTTTATGCAGATTTTCCCAAATGAGGCGAGTGCACAAAAACTCTGGACTCCGAAGAAGGGGGAAATGGTGCAATTTCTGCTTCTAAACTGGTTTTACGATCAAATGCGGAGCTGACTCGATTTGACAGTGATTGATGCTCACTGCACGATCTGTGGAATATTTTAATTTCCTGTGAGGGCCTTCGGACGGACCCCCTTCCTCACTGGACAAAGTCCCCTAACTCTTTCCCTCCCTCACGTGTTTTTTTCTGAAGAAAGGAACACACTCTCTTTTTCGATACTCTATCTCATTCCTTGTAGTCTTATTGATGCTTGGCATTTCTTTAAAAAAGGAGGCTAAAAAAGAAAGACTACGCTAAGAGAAGCTGATGGCAGCTTCTTATGCAGAAAATAAGAATTACTACATTGTCATCAATAATTCTGTTCAGGAAGCTAAGAATATTGTGAAGAACGGATATATATCACTTGATCTATATGTCTCAAGAGAGCTCTAATATACGGAAAATTCAGTTAATTGGATTGCTTCTTTTTAAGTCAAGTAAAATTAATATTATTTATTTACATTTATTACATTGCAATAAATTAAGGATACCAGTCATATTGTTAAAAAGTTACTGAATTAAGTTAAATGTACACAATTTCTAGATTGGCTTACATTGCTAGATAAATATCATAGCCTCGAAGTCGATAAACAATAGGGAAAAGGGATTGTATATTATATACTGGCCTACTGGTTTTACTGTTTTTGTTGTTGTTTTTTAACTCCATCGCTTCATGAGTGATTTTGTATTTTAATTAATGACAAGGTAATGTATCAAGTTAACGTTAGTTGACAGAAGGCATGATCGCTTTGCTTTAAGCAAGTAAAAAAATAATTCTTCCTTTAATTTTAGTACAGGAAAAATAAAAATGCGATAATATGTTTAGTTTTACCGCAGATTTAAATAAAAACTAATTTCGTTGTTTTGATTTGATTCAAATCTGGTGTGCATTCAGGTAAATTAAAATAAAATAAAATAAAATTCTGAAATCATTCAGATTTTAAATTACGCCTAAAACGGCGTTTTTTAACGTTTCATGTGTTACCTTTATTTATTAAATATCATGTTCTTCACACTTAAATTACAAAATTCAATTCAACAGCAATATCGCAAAATAATTTAAAGGGAGCATATCTTTAGAATTTTCGATACACAGTCTCGCGCGCTGGAGATAATTTTTTTTTTTTTCGTACAGTGTTGCCATTTCTCGCTATGAAATCGTCGAGTTTATTGATCAAACATGCGTTAAAAGTTTACAAAATATGAAACAGATAATAAAACTAATTCGAATTTCAAAATTTGGGCTTTCAGATGCCCATATTAGAGTGGAGGTCTGCGTTATTCAAAATTTGATGTCTCTAGGTACCGTTGTTTTTTCACAGTGCGAGAAGCATACATGCATTCATGCAGATTCTTCATTATTTAATTTCTTTAAATATAATGCAAGACTCTAATATTTGCTGGCAACAATCTGAAAAGTAAAACGCCGTTTCTAGTGAACCAACGCAAAATGCGAAAACGAAATTAATAGCCTTTTTCAGCAAGTTTCCCCCTTTGGGATATAAATTCATAAATGAATTTCGTTAAAAATTGCTGAGATTTTGCAAAAATGAAAATATTTTTAATGGGATAAAATTTATTAAAACAAAATAAGATAAACGATATCTTCCTTACTTGCATTGGAATAAATATGTATTTGGTCTACAGGAAAAGTTAAGCCAGTATCTCCGAGTATCCGAATGGACTGTAGTTCCTTTGGCATGGATATTAGAAGTTATATCATATTTTGATTTTCAAAATTAGCATATTTAAAGATGCAGAAATTTAGGTTTCATTTTTTGTAATTTTAAATCGATAGCGCTTGATAAATTAAAGGTGCTTAGCTTAAAATTCTTTTTAGGAGTTAAACTAAAATCTGCACATCAAGATCAGGTTGCAAATTCTTTTGAATCTTGTAACTTTCATACTTTTTTATTTATAAGTTTTTAAAGTTTGTGAAATTTTAATGGGAAACTGTTTATGATGTTATATTATAATCTGACATTTTCAGACTGCCCTTTTTCTTTGATTTTGTTCTCCCAGTTTTAATTATAATTTAATTATAATTCGGTACAAAAGGCGATTGTGACAGACATTTAAATGCGAATATCAGAAATTATTATAAAATATCTGAGCTTGTATATTTGAGATCAGTTTCACACTTTAATTATATGATTAATAATTCAAATTTTTGGAATATGTAACGTTCTAAGTTCTACTGAAATGTGTCGAAACGAAATGCCCTTTTATCTTCATTCCATGCCTCTTATCAAATCTGTATCTACTGTCGTTTAACTCTTCCTTTCTTATATTCATAATTATACTCATAATTATGGAATTTGGTTAAAAATATTATATCTAAGACATGTAATTATTTCATTTTGGTTCAGTTAAAATGTCTGATATATTTTTAAAATTTTAAGGCTATTTTACTGAATTATTTCTCTTCATAAATATTTGCTTCGTTGTACCAAGCTAATGAATTCAATAACTGAATAGTGTTAATGGAAGAATCGTGTTACGGAAAGCACGGAACTTAATTATAATGAAATATCGTTAAATATACATTGGTTTATCACGAAATCTTTAGTAAGTGTATAGATGACAATTATATTCAAAACTGAAAATGCTTAAATAATATCTAAATAATTATAAATTTCAAACGTTTTTTCCTGGGAGAGAAAAGAGTCTAGAAAAACGTAAATCCTACTAATTTTTATCACAGGCTAAAATTGACCTAACAAACTCTCGTTGTTATATAGCTTCTGCTTTAACAACAACTTCTGCTATAATAACTTTTTACTATAAAGTCTGAGACTATAATAGTTGCTGCAGTTTTATGGTGTTTAAAATTTTTGAGTTAATTTTAAAATATAATAATAATAACGTGCATAATTAAAATAAAATCCTGTATTAAAACAGATGCAAATAATTAGACAAATTAATTTTGCTTTGATTTTATGTAAGTAAATAAAAAAAATTATGAAATTATCTTATGCGTTTCTTTAAAAAACCCTGAGTGCTATATTTTTAAACTTTTAATTCTATTTTCTCACCATCATTTTAACATTCAAAAAGACTTTTTCTTTGTATAATATTTCTTATGTATGTATTTTCTCTTTTATTTATACATACTTAAGAGTTACATGGTAATTATCATAATTCTAAGGTAATTATCATAATTCTAAGGACATGGAAACGCAACACACAGATGCGCAGCACAGAAAGCGAATATAAAACAAAAATTTGTGATGTATATTATAAACTAAAAATGACATATTTATTTATTTATGTATATAGCAGAAAGAAAAATGAATGAATATCACATCAAAATATAAAATTTCGTAGAGCGGGAAATAAATTTTACGATGTTGAACACAAGGAATCGATTGTATTTGAGCTTAAATTAAGAAATACAAAAACGTAAAAATTATATTATTCAGCTGAAAATAACAGTATCTTTTCGGAACATTAACTTAACATATTTCTAGCACTTTGTACAAGCTTGTAAACTGTAATAATTTATATTGTACTAAATCTACTTTTTTCTTCTTTTTTTCAGAACCAAGCACTTATACATGTAGTACATGTAAGCAAACGTTTACGTCGGCATGGGTGTTGGTACAACATGCTCAGCACATGCACGGAATGAAGATCTACCTCGTGACACCCTACCATGGCGGACGGAGTTCATCGAATCCATCTTCCTCGGTAGTGCCTCCATCAGGGCCTCCTCCTTCTCTTATCAACAACAGCAGCAGTAGCATAGGCATACCTCTACCCCCGGTGTTACCTCCGTGCTCCATGAATGGCCCCAGTCATCATCAGCATGCCCACCACCATGGCGTCTTACCTCAGCAAGCCCTCTCTCTGGAAAATCACCCAGCTCTGCAACTTCTACGAATGCCACTGGGAGAGAGACAGTTTGCCCCTGGTTCGCTCAATGCTCCTAATCTTTTCGCCCGGCCGTCTAGTCAAGATTTCCGCGTCGATATGCTAGCGACATCCTCTGCTGGCAGTGGCAATGGCAACAACAGCGCGGAAAGTAGTCAACAATTTCATCGACTCAATCACCATCACCAACAACACCACCCACCCCACAGTGCTTCCTCTCTACCTGGACTAGGAATAGGAAGTTTTGAGCCCCATAATCCGTTCATCGACAGGGGACCTCTCGGACTCGACACGAGACCTAGACCACCTCCTATGAGCTTAGGCTTTGAGCCGCAGATGGACTTTTATTCGCAGAGACTCAGGCAACTGGCGGGAGCCACGAGTCCTACTACAGTAACAGCCTCTCCGCGCAAACTCACCCCACCTTTCACACACCCTCCAATGTCTTCCTCTTCTCAGCCTTCCACTCCTACTTCTACGCCTCAACCCGTACTGAATCTCCACAGTTCTTCTGGTAGTACACTTACACCAGCTTCCAACCACCAACACAATAACAACCAAGCTCACAGAGGGTCTTCTGCATCATCCACTAGCAGCAAAGGTGGTGGAGCCACAGATGCAGCAGAGGGCTCCCCTAAGTTGCTCAAGTCATGGTCTTGCGAGTTTTGTGGTAAAGCATTTCGGTTTCAAAGCAATCTCATAGTGCACAGACGGTCTCACACAGGCGAAAAGCCTTATAAGTGCCCAATCTGCAGGCACTCGTGTAGCCAAGCCAGCAAGCTCAAACGGCACATGAAGACTCATCAGAGCAACAACGGTAAATCTACACCAGGTTCTGAAAATAACAGCATGGAATCTCCTAGATCAACTCCTGATTCTACATCAGAGCAGGGAAAGGAAAGAAATAGGCAAAGACGAAGGAGTCTTGATGAAGATGAAGATGCTTCAGATGGACAAACAGCGGACAACGAAGAAGAAGAAGAAGATCTAGACGACGAGGATGAAGAAGAAGAAGAAGATGAACTTGATGATGAAGAAGATCTAGATGATAGCAACGAAGTTTTGATGGCAGAAGACCTTAGTACAAGGGGACCAACAAGTTCCACTCCCGTTCCTAGAAGCTCACCTACCTCGGATCAAAACAAAACACAGAAATCCACACCTGAGGATGTGGCAGCCAACAACGACAATAACAGTAGCAACACTATTAGTGTGAGCAATGGCGAGAACGGTAATAATAGTAGAGAAAAAGATAGTTCGAAACCAGAACCTAGGCATTCTCTTTTAAGTGAAGTCATGGACAAGATAGGTTTGAGCAATATCCAACAGTACAATGAAGCTTACCAAAAAGCTTTAGAAGAAAGCTCATTGAAAAATTCTTCGAAAGAAGAAACTGACACGCCAAGTCGAGGCAGGACACCAGTGACAGAAAACGGGCCCGAGAAGCTTAATAACCGGGAAGATGGCAATAATACAAATAGTCACGGAGGCAGTAATAAATCACTCGCTCTCCTACCACATTCGATGGACTTTGGCCATGGTTTCTTCGGTGCCTTCGACTATCATCATCACCATCACCATAACGCGTTTGAGGCAAGCAAACGGTTAAAGTTGGACATTGCTGACCACTTACGAAGCAGCAACGACAGAGATTCTCTGTACGCTGGTCTGTGGTTACCTTCTGTTCACGGAGCTGCTCACAGAGACCTATTCGATACGACGGATTTGTCCCGCCACAACAAATCTTCCTCTTCTGAAAGTGCCTTGAAGTCTGTCACTCCCACCAACATGAGTAGCAGGTCGCTGAGTCCCAGACCCGGTACCAGCGGGGGCGGAGCATCGGTCACTCCAATACCCGGCCTCCTGGTCAACTCCTCGAAAAGCGGTAGTAGTTCCAAAGAGCAGCGCCGCAACGATACCTGCGAGTATTGCGGCAAAGTCTTCAAGAACTGCAGCAACCTCACTGTTCATCGGCGGTCTCACACAGGCGAAAAGCCATACAAGTGCGAGCTGTGTAGCTATGCGTGCGCGCAGAGCTCGAAACTAACACGACACATGAAGACACACGGACGTCTGGGAAAGGACGTCTACCGGTGCCGATTCTGCGATATGCCCTTCTCGGTGCCGAGCACTTTGGAAAAACACATGAGGAAGTGTGTCGTGAACCAAAACGCGACCGGTGTTTCCTACATGGACAGAGACTCGGATTCCAAAGATCTAACGTGAGACTAATAACGTCACCACTGACCCTAAATAGAAGAATTTAAATCTAAGATATTATTTTTCAATTTCTATGTGATGTGGAATTTCTGGTTTATTTTTGGGGCCTTGGGCCCGCCGTGTTCAAAGACTCTCCTATATTTAAAGACTGACCCCGAATAATGGGATTCGCAAAGAGTCGTGCGTGATCGTGTAAGCGTGTGTTCTTGTGTGTCGGTTTTAAACCTAAATCACACACTATCCTATAAATATTTAAGAAGAAAAAAATACGAATACAAGCCTTCCCTCACTGTTGTATGATGACCACGTGTTACATTTTTCTATGTGTGACTAAAACTCGACTTTTAAAGTAAAGAGTTTTTAGTTATAAAAGTTTGAGTATTCGTTAGGCATAGATATAGACTGTTTTTGAAATGTCTTTTTAGCGTTTTGATATAAAAAATTAATACGATAGGTCTCTAAATTTCTGGACCTATTTTTCATTGAGTGCTTCTGTTTTTCATTTTATGCTACGGACCAAAATATATTTTAAGATTCCCTCCCCTACAAAAGGAAATATAAAGTCTGCTGCGTATTATTTCCTTCAGTGTCTGAAGCTAAGTGATTCGAGTACTTATCTTTTTTAAGCTGCTTAAAGTTGAATTAACTGGTTACGTTATTCGTTGTTATGTTAACAAATTATCTTTCAGAAATTTTCATTGTTGGGAAAGGACTCATTCAGAGTTAGTGCTTTCGAGAATAATATCTAGTCTTTATTCAGAGATAAACGCAAATAATAGCATCTCTTATTTCAGTAAGTCATTTCGTTATGAAGTGATTTTAATTAACAAGATGGACAATCACAAGAGATTGTTAATAAAATTTTTGTCCTTTTCAGATACATATTTATACTTTTTTAAAGCAACGTTCGATTGTTCTCCGAATTCAGCAGTTACAAGAGATCACGGAAAAGTTTATTTTAAATATATCCCAAATCCTGTATTCATGTATTTTTCAAAGACTTTGCTTTTATTGTGTGTGATTACTTTCATTTCTTGTAGATGTTTGTACTTCATTATGCTTATAATTACACAAAATACTATTGTAAGAAATATCATTTTATATATTAATTAATTTTCATGTATGATTTTTTTTAAAAAGTTAACTAAATTATCCATTTATTTAAATAATCCATTTATTTATTTAAATTCTTTCTACAGCAAATAGGCTAATAGCAGTGAGTGCTAGTGACTTTTAAATCAATCATTTATTTTCCTTTGCTTGGCATTTTTTCTTTCACTTTTAGTCAGCAGATACAGCAACAAGCAGGCATATTAAATGACATGAATTATTTATATCTTTTTTATAAAAGAAATATGTTATCATATTCTGAAATATTGCCATGCAGTGTTGTGAAATTTCGATCGAAAACTTTCAGGTGTGTTACTATTGTGGCAATAACACTGGTGACTATGTATTGTAATTAACTACATTAACTTACTATAAATCTTTGGGTATAATTAAAAACCCATTTAACCGCAAATACCTCTGCTAATTCCTATATGTAAGCAAGGTCTCGGTTCTAAACGTAAATACATATCACCATTTAATACTGAATAAAAATAATAAATAATTTTGAATAATGTTTGTGTGCATAAATGTAAGGAAAATTATCTATTTCCATTCTAAGTACTTGTAAATTTTGCCTTATTTGCAAGCAACACACTTCAAAAACAATTCATTGCGATTTTTCATACAATCAATAAATCCTTAATTTTTCTAAAAATTTATCCATTTTAGCCTCATTTAATTATTTAAACTTATTTCTGTTTAGTTATTTCTAAAAACGTCTTATTTTTAACAACGTTTCTCCTCAATCTTTTTTACCAAATTATACACAATAAAACGTAAGCAGTATTATTTGGACCATAGTTTCAAAATTACTGCTGCCAATAATTTATTAAAATATATTTGAATTAACTTTGTAATTTATTTTAATACATTTTCTAACCCGATTTTTCCAAACGGTTATATTTTAAAATTAAATCTTCTTTTAAAATATTTCAAAAAGCAGTTTTTAACAAAATATTACTGAATGGGGTTTGTAAAATCTGACTGAAAATTTTAATATGTAGGAGAAATTACATTTTATAAATTGCTAAAATTTCTAAAATTTACCTGTTTCTTAGCAAATATTTTATTTTTGAAGAGATTTTTAGACCAGTTACCGACGAATTATCTTCAATTATAATTATCTTTAATATTAAGTTTTGAGCAAACATAAAAATACCGCTGTCCTTAATATCTTTACCATTTAATTTTAATCTAACATTTGTTTAGTTCTTTTTTCTTTTCCTCATACCTTTGTTCAATACTAACTTTGCTCTTGGTTATAAAATCTCAAGCGAAGCATAGTAACTATCATGTAGATATTTCCTTACATTTATCCTTATATTTAATTCAATATAAAGCATGACTTTTTGTGTAGCTGTTCTTATGCATGTTGAATATCTCCTCATGCTTAGACTATGTGTGATATGCATTTACAAAACAGAGATCAGAGATTTTGCTTTTGCTGTCCTAGCTCACCAGGGTGACGGTCTAGTAAGTACTGCTTCTTGGATACTGCAGTAAAAGATTCCTATTATCTGGTACGTGCAAGAGTACACAGTTTGGTATTCAAGCATCTGAAATTGTAATAAATGTCAGCCACTTTCACTGCAGATTTTGCAAATTTTTCTCTATATATTAAAAGAAACTATACCAATATCGATTATTTGAGAGATGAAAAATGGCTATCAAACTCGATAATAAAGCATTTGTGAATTACAGTAAGTTGCAGTTTACATAAAAATTTTATAAGTCTTGAAAATGATCCATGATCTGCTTGCATTTATTTATCGCTGCTTGCATTTATTTTAAAAATTATTCAAATAAATTATGTACTAATTATCACTGGGATCAACAAAATAGTCTTTATTAACAAATAAGCTTTTGTATCACAAAAAATTCTAAAATTTTTATCCAGATAAATGAGGTAAAATTATAAGTGAAAAATATCCTCTTATTTATTAAATCACATAAAATACAAAGATGATTCACTTGAAAAAACTAGAACGTAATGTATATTTTTGGTTATACAAATAAAATTCTCTTGGCCCTTTTAATACGATAATATTAAAAGTATTCAATTTATTGCATGTGGTACACTTAGGGAATTCAAATTTAGTTCTTTACTTTTCATTGAAAATATGTTAAAATTCAATGAAGCATGCGGTTTAGGTGCATTGATCATAAAATTTGCTAATTAAGATGCGATGCCCACGTAACTTGCTTACGTTTAATATGCTTACCACTGAGGGCTTTCTAAGTAAAACCGTTTAATATCCCATCACAATAAAGAGCATAGATAAAAGCCTCGTGTCCAGCAATGCCCAAAACTATGATACCCTTGAATACTGATAGTCAGGCTGTAACCTCACGAAACTCAATTGGAATCTTTCAGTTGGTTATACATGCTTTATTTCTTAACAAATTAACAGATAACGCTTAAAATTTTGGAATATCAACACAAAAATATCGATAAGATATTTAAATCCAATTAAAAGTGCAGAATTATAGTAATTTGATAATAACTATTAATTGGAATTGTAATTTGATAATTGATAATCTATAATTTGATAATTGTAATCTGATAATTGATAGTTTTAATAATTGTAGTATGATAATTGATAAATGATAATTTTAATTTGTAATTTTGCATATCTGCAGCGTAAGTGAAAATTCATGACAAAATTTTGATTGACGATGTTTGCTGAAGAAAGTCTGTTGAAAGAGTATTTAAAACTAAATGGTGTACTCTACTTTTCCTATTTCGGACCTCATAACTGCTAGTTTGCTCTCAATTTGGGGCAGCTAAAAACTAATGTAACCTACCTCTAAACAATCTATAAATAGTAATGGTGTGTACTCTAATTTCTTATGGTTTACTAACTATTTTTACTGCACGTTTCGAATATTTAGATGGACTATCTTTGATGAACTAATTATCTAGCACTATCGTTGCCAGTTTATGAAGAAAAAAAAAATTCTTCATGTGTGGTGTGTTTCATACTAACAAAATTTATTCGCGTCCTTGTACAGAATACAGTTGGTGTTGTTTCAATTTGCTGTCCACAGTTTTCATTTTGTGAGGCTGATATCAGGAAATTTAGATCCGATACAATTTGGTTAATCAATATCTGTGTGATTCAATTTAATTATATCATTGATTTTTTACACGAAACGGACATTTGATTATTCCTAATCGATTTGCTCAAATAGTGTGAAATGACATTTGTGTAGTATGCTTCGAATTTCAGAGTGTTTAATTGTGTTAGATTCATTTTTGTATTTTGTATATATAAAGAAGCATAGTGTTAACTAGTTCATGCGTAAGCCATATATCTTAATAAAAATGCATTCATTTACAGAGATCTTCGTTCAAGGTATTAGCTGCCGAAGTTCTTTTGGCTTGCTTCTAAAATGCGCTTGGCGCCATCTATTAGAAATGTTTTGTACTAAATCGGAATCTGTATACATAAATTAGAATTATGTATAGTCTAGTTTGTTAACGCTATGCTTTATCAAAAGTTCTTAAAGTTCACTATTTGAAGTTTGTTTAATTATTAGCGGCTGAATTTCCTTTTAATATTTGTTATTTATCCAAGTTCTTCCATTTGTAGTTACATCTATGTTGAAATTATAGAAAAATGTGTTTTTAATACTACAAATGATTTCCGAATTTAAGATCATTTAAATGACTCAAAAAGTGCAATAAATAAAAACTTAAAGGTTCAAAGGAAGAACCTCACTAACTATTAATTTGGTTGAAAAGGTTATATTCATTCTATGTGATGTGTTTTAAATATGTTTTCAATGATGTATTTTAAAATGCCATGTTATAAATTTCTTATATATCTTACTGTGAGTTAAAAATGCATCACGTTCTTGTATATTCACATGCACTGCTACGCACGTGGTTTAATGCATCTGATGATTCTTATTTTACTAAGTCTTTTTTTCCATCAAATGTGAATATGAAATAAAGTTATCGAACATTTGTATATTTCCAAGCAGCATCCAGTAGTGAAAACATTTTTACAGCGGCTATTATTGAAGTGAATAAACATTTTTAAAGACTCATTTTTTAAATGCACATAACTCAGATATTTTACTGGAAAACTAAGGAAATTAGTTACAAGAATTATTATTGCTAAGAGCCATCGAACAATATTTCTTCATTCAATCATACAAATGAAATGACTATGTTAATTTTTTATTCATTATTTTATGTATAAAAGCATAAATATTTTTTAAAATTTCATGGAAGAAAGGCGTGATATATATCTCTAAGAAATTTTGCTTTTTACATACGGAAGATAATTTGATTTTTTTTAATTTTTTGATTCATTGTAATTTTTAATTATGAATTCGCTTGTTAAGTGTTATAGATATGTAAGAGTGGAAAGAGATTTTTATAAAATGTGTGCAACATCTCGAACTTAAATTTTAATAATATTTTATAAATCCAAAATTCTAAAGAAATAAATACTGTTTCATTCTAAATTAACGATGCACATAAGGCAGTAAGTAACAAAATTATTTTAATCACTAACATGTTTACAATAACCATAGAAACTGCATTTTAATTGATCTCTGATTTCTTACTTCACATTTTTCAATAAGCGCTTAGATAAGTTTTAAATACAAAAACTTAATTAAATAATATAGATAGTTTACTTCATCGGTATATTTCGCCGAGTTTGTGCCAAAACATTTTAATCAAATATATCTATATTTATTAAAAGGAAAATTTTATTTCATTTATATCAGTTACAAATGCAGTTTAAATTAAATGCATTAAAATTCTCCTTTTATAGTTTATACATAATTATAATGATGATAATAATAACAATAATAAAGGAACTTTAATTTTAAAGGTAAATTTATTTTGCCTCTTTCTGAAATTAACAAGCTGCTTCTTTACATATAATCTGAAACCATTTGCTTAAAAATAACAAAATTTTAACTTAAAAAAGGTATAAAATATTACTATTACATTACAAGTTTAAACAAATACCTGGAAAAAAATCTTTCTATTTTCTGATATTGAGTGTTTGTTAACAAACTGAATTATCAAAACTCCAACTAATATTAAATACTTACTATATACACTTTTATTTAATTCGGAAACCATATTGTAACAAAACACCAGTTTTCATTAAAAATTGTTATATCTATTAAACCTCACCTAAAGCTTAATTTCATATCTTAAATCATGCTTACGCATCACATGTAACAATACAACTATTTTCCTATCATTGGAGGGTATATTATAAAGTATAATTATTATACGCGAAGACAACTTTTTCTCATTTCTTCATATGCGTTACTAAAATAGAAAGTTTCATTTTTATATCTAAAACAACTGTGAATCGTGGATTATTTTTCCATAGACATTTATGTATTTATCAATGAGAGAGCGAGAGAGAGAAGAGAGACACGTAAGTCATAAATCCTGAACGACTTTTTGTGATTTTGCACCCGTGCTGTAATAAGTAGCATTTAGAGAAAGAAAAGAGTACAGAAACTTGTTGGCCTTACGTTTTCTTAAGAGGTTTGTTAATTGATATTGAATTGATTAATCTCATTACATGCATGTTCTTGTACATTACTATGTTGTGAAAACAGATTTTTATTTATGGACGAAGATTGAATATAAATTAAAATCTTGCTGGAATGGATATGTTTGTGTTTCATCTCACTAATGCAATATAACATGGTCCTAACACTCATGACTCTTTATCCCTTCTTTTTCCGTCAATTAATGTAACATATCAGCTTGTCATTAATACTCTAAATGTCAGAACTCATTAACTATAGCATGAATATATTTACAATGACCTTAGTCTTTATTTAAAATCAATAATTTAAAATACATGTGTAACTCCAGATTTCATCTTAATATAAAAGATACTGAACCCGGAAAACATTTAAATACGTCAAGAAACTTAAGGCAATGCATCTTTTGATAATATGAATATTAACAATGGCTATCATGTTAGTATTATCTTAGAGACTTAACCAAGGCTTTTCGTTGAAAATTCATTTTATACCTCAAAAGGACTATTAAATATGATTTGTGCTGTTTCACTTTTCATTCGAGATTTTTGCCATTCGGAAAAATGTAAAGTATTAGTCTTTCATATTTAATCTATCTGTTATTAAATAACAAAGCAAACTATTTAAAAGCAAGAATTATATTACATGTTTTTCTCTATTTAAGTACACAGAAGATATACAGGGCGAATCTGAACAAGTGGGCAAAACTTTAGGGAATGACAGAAGGCAATATTCGTCATAGAATGTATAGTCAGAACGCAAACGGAGAGCCCTTGGTGGCATAGTAAATAAATGGTATAAAAAGTGTCTGTACTCGCACCCAACGGCATTTTCACCCGTGAGTTGCCGAGAGGACTGCTGATTATACGAAATTTTTCCAAGACGATGGATTGGTCGAGGTGGGCCCACAGCTTGGCCACCAAGATCACCGGATCTCTCGTTTTTGGAATTTTTTCCGTGAGGCCATATGAAAAGCCTAATATGCGAGTGTCCCATTGAAACCAATATGATATTTTTAGTTTTTATGTTTCTGTTTTTAATTAATCCTATTTCTGCCATGATTCAAAAACTCATTCCATATCATTTTTCCATTTCTAATTTAATTTTCAAGGCCTCTCATTCCCTTCAGTTCACATTATATAAAAGCAGGAAAAACATTTTAAAAATGGGCTTGCACTTATTGCTATGAAAACCAAATATAAAGTTGTAATCAGTTGTAATCAAAGGTTTTACTTTTTAAAGTAAAGAAAATACAAACAATCATGCATTATTAAAAATATATGTTAAAGTTAAAAAAATATCTTTAGCATTTAAAACATAAAAAATGTCACAATGTGGAAATTACATAAAATAAAGAAGAATTTTTTTTAATTTAAATTGATGGTTTAATGACAAATTTTAAAAATATTTATTTACACCTTTTGATGAAACACTGAATAATGGGACTTCATCCCATCACAACCATCAATAAATTTATTGAAAACAGGCCATTCTTGCATATAGCTCAAGTTATTTACAACGAATGAGACTGAACTTGAACGAAGCCAGACAAGACACGACTTCTCAGGAATAGAAAAACTAATGCTAGTTCAGAATATGCTTACAACATGTAAAAAATGTATTGCTCCTCTTGAAATAAATAAACAAACAAACAAAAAGTATAAAAGCCTTCTAAATTGAGACAAATTTAACGCAGAGCTTTATTTTACTTTGCTTTTTATTAGTTCAAATGCAAAAATAATTTTTAAGGCAAAAAAAGGAGTTATTGGAATCAATTTAATGTAATGTTAAGCACATAAAAATAAAGTAACAAAGTGTTAAGCTTCAGTATGTGATCTTATGAAGTAAACTAAAGAATTAATGCTAATCAAATATAGAAAAATGAATTAAAGATGGGTTTGAGGAGATCTGTGAAAAATGATTATGTTAATTTTTGTTCAGTTTCATATTCGTCACCGAAATCGATCAACAATTCGATAGCAAGTAATTATAAAGAAACATAATTACATAGCACTTAAAAGCTGATAATAAAACCTTTCATATCTAAAAATTAAAATTTGAAGTCAATAATCATTAAATGTATTTTCCATAAAACAAAAAATGTTTCGTACCTTTCATATCTAAAAATTAAAAGATAAAACTTTAAGTCTCCTTCAGAAAGTATAACAAAAGGGTAACAACTATTTTTTGCTACCCGATGGCCAAACAATTATTCTGTACTAAAATACTCATAGATCTTTTTATTAAATACACCAGTGATTGTAAAAATTATTTTTAGGTCTTCGAGTTTGTTAAAAAGTGTTAATGTTTAATTTCAAAGACCAAGGATTTTTATGCAGGATTAAATGGCAACAAATAAAAACTAGTGAACTGAAGAATTGGGAGGACGATAAATTAAAGATCTTAAGTCATAGAAGCTGCAATGCTTAAAAGTGATCATTTGCCAGGTCCTGTAAATGAAGAATGGTATTGCAACATTACATAAGGAAACGCGAAGAAAAATAGAAGCCTAAGTTATAAACGAATGGTAAAATGAACGGAGTTTCAGAAACCAAAATATTTATAGCAGGAAACCACAATACTAAGTTTTCTTGTATCAAATTCGACTCTGACAACATGAATTCAAATCCTACATTGTATCAGATACAAAATTCATTGTCACTAGCATACGCGTCTTCTCAGGCGAACTCACTGAATGGTTACCGGCTAAATTGCAGATCTGATCGAATTTAAAATCAACCTAATTTGCGTTCTGGAGAAAGCTAACAGAAGAACCATAAGGCGCAGAAGAAAATTAATATAAAAATAACGTGTTAATTAAATGAAACATTGCAGGTTTACTACCAAAAAAATTAAGTTAAAAAAAACATATTTGAAATTATTTTCTAACATGAAAAGATCTACTTTTGCCAACACATAATACATAATATTTCCTTTATTGTTGTAAAAAAACTAAAATTCAATTCAAAAACATTTTGTTTTTAAAACCTCCAGCACTTACTTGAATATTTTTTAAAGAATTTAAAACAGAATAAAATTTTGACAAACTATTATACTTTGAACAAAAGTTAAATCGTCTGTACCTTTGTGAGGTATTCATCTTCTTCCTTATCGCATGCATTCATGGTGTAATTGGCAGCACATCCTGCTAGTTTCAGAAGGTCCGAGGTTCAAATACCGGCTAGAGCATCGCAGGTGTTTTTCACATTTCTTGCTCTCAAATAATAATAATAATAATAATAACAATAATAATAAACCCTACAATTGGGGCCTGAACTGAAATATGTGAATGAACTCGTCACCACCCTGAATTTGATGACTTAGTCACCGCCTTCCCATTCCCCTTTAAGTGGGAGAGAATGCAAGGGATTTTATTCTTTCTTACCTCTTGACTTTGTAGTGTAATAGGAAGCATGTTCTGTTAACATCAAGAAGTCCGAAGTTCGAATCTTGGTGAGGACATCGCAGATATTTTCAAGTTTCCTACTCCAAAACACCTAAACATTAATATATAATTTCTTTGTCATTATTTAATTTTTATTGCAATTAATAGTACACAGAAGAAACATAAAATCTGAAGAAGTATAAAATTTGTAGATGATATATCATAGGGTATTTAGAAATGTATTTTACAATCACACATACGTTGCACTATAACACTCCTTGCAAACTGTTATTCAGAGTACGTATAAAGTAAATCTTGGTGAACATGTTGGGTGCAAGGAAGTTTTTGTAGTTTCCTAATCTGTAATATAAGTACGAATTATTTTTTCTTGCAAATCCTTAAATAAGACATCCTTCTCGTCAAGCATCATGCATTCAGTTAAACAAGCTATAAGCTATTTTCTCCTTACTTTCCGCATGCCTTCGTAGTGTAACTGGAAGCACATTCGACGCGTGCTCGGGAGGTCCGGAGTTCAAATCGCAGCGAGAACATTGCACATTTTTCACGTTTCCAGCGTCGATAATTCTAATGACTCTACAAAGCAAACATAAAATGACTTCTTAAATTATTCACTTTCTTATGCTCGTGAATAATGCAGTGTCATAATATTCATATAAATACAAGATCTTACGAATCGTTGGTATGCAACAATGTTCTCCATGTTTCTGATCTTTATTTGTAACAGACAGGATCTTAAAGTATAAAGTACAACTTCTCTTCACGATTTTGTAAACTTCAAAAAGTAAATACGAATTAATACTCTCTACCCAACCAGCGTTCAAAACAGCAAACTGAAAGTTATTTTCTCTTTAAAAAAATGCGTATTACGTACAAAGATTCTTGATTGACCAGGGAATACTCTGAAATAATATTACGTATGCAGTTTATATTTTTAGAATCTGAAACTACCTTTCGAAATGTGCATTTGGCATGGCAATATCTGCCTCCTATTCTCTATAATATATATCAAATTCACTAATATTGACTAGAATATCCCTGAGAAAATACCATTCTTCACTTAAACACTTTTATTGTAAGAAAGTTCTTTTACATAGTTCAAGTAGCAACATGCACGTATGCGTAAGCAATTTAAACTTCGTTAAGTATCTAAAAATAATTGACACAAAGTAAAGCGAAGAGATGTTCATTTCATAAAGTAACAGTGAAGAATAAAATCTTTTATATTTATAAGCTGCTTAGGATTCAAAACTTCAAAAAAAAAAAAAAAAAAAAAAAAAAACTAGCATATGAATGTGTTTAAAACACCAAGGGAATTTTCGTACAAGTTCGCTTCGATGCCAAAGGAACTTCGATGCCAAAGGAAGTATCAGGCCACAAAGGTATTCCCGAACACTAGGGAAATTATTCGCTTTGATATAAAATAATCCAAGCAGCAATACATTCAATAAAAGCATGTTTGAAAGGATAATTCTACCTCCATTATTAAGTGTGCTGACATGTTCGAAACGCAGAAAGATCTATTTTAAGTACTTACATTGTCAGGACTTGTGTTTCTCTTGATTTGTGTTGGAAACATGAATTATCCTGAATAGGAACAGGGAGCTTACTCAAGCTATGTTCAAGAAGGTGTGAAGTAGACAACACAAGCAGGAAGGGTATACGAAACCCTTTATTTTCAATCTTTACAAGCACTTCCGAATTCGGAATACACAGACC